TCAGAATAGAACTAGTACTTCCCATAAACTCAGAGAGCTGAAATTTGGTACAGAGTTAGGGTTTAATGGCCACATAAAGGGAAAACTATAAAAACTAGGATAATCGAAGATCTGGAGTACCTGGGGACCCTGATTGGGAAACACAAGAGCCCAACCAAACTATTAGAAGAGATCGACATACCGCCTTTACAAAAAATATTCAACTTGGTGGGCCGCTTCATTTGATGTCAAAAATCGAAGTTCTGAAGTATCCTCAGCAGATCTCAGATGTATTAGAGATATGGTAATGCCTCCTTCTACTATTGGTACATAAAAAAAAATACGTGTACAGAGAACAATTCCCAATCTGTGTGGCGTATGCCCTAACAATTCATAAGAGCCAAGGTCTAAGTCTAAAAATGCCCTCATGGACATTGGCACCTCCATATTCTCTTGTGGCCAAGCCTACGTGGCGCTTTCACGAGTAACCAATCTTCATGGGGTGCACCTCATAAATGTTGACTTCAAGAGTATAAAAGCTCAAGCTTCAGCGATCACCGAATACAACCGGCTTAGGCGTAAATACCGCGCCGATCTTTCAGAAATTAAACCGTATAAACCGTCTAAAAGAATAAATAATGAACGCGAACGGGCAATACGAAAAACTGTTGCTACTGTACAAGAATCAGAACCGGAAAAAAAGAAAAGAAAGATTTGTAATAATAAAAAAAAACTACTCCTAAAAAAATGTGTCAAATAAGAAAATCTAATAAAATAAATCATAATATGCCCACGTTTCTACAAAAAGCAGTGAAATCCCACCAAAAACATTCTGTAAAAAAACTAGCCAAGTCTCGATGGAGCTGCTTGTTTATCTCTAAAAAGTAATGAAATCTAGACAAAGTCGTGCCAAGTCTAAGGTTCCTTACTGCGATTTCTTTATTATTATAGTTATTGTTGTGTGACTTGGCCGTTGTAGGGAACACAACGGTACAAAACCAGGTGCTATATTGCATACACATCATTGCACCAATCTGTCGCCAGAACCACTACCCATTGACGATGGAAAATTGCCACTTGGAAAGCGTTGATTGAATAACCAGTCAATTGTAGGCTTGATAAAGCTGCGTATTTCAATAATACTTTTGTATAGGCGAGCCTGAAACAAACAGTATAAAAAATTATTTCCAGTACAGGCGGACTTCTAATCATTGATAGAAGTCCGTCTGTACGTCTATTTTATGTTAGATCGGTGGTCGATTTGAGGCTCGAAAAAGAAGAGAGTAGAAGTCAGCATTGTGAATGCTGAATGCATGTGTTGCACAATCAACAACCGCCTAAAATGAGACACTAGCGTCCAATTATCAATACCACTATGGGCTATTATCTCGCTTAACAAACATAAGTAGTTACAACAGATATAACATTACGTGTAAACACAATTACGTGCAACATTACGTGTAAACGCAACTTTATCAAGCTTACAATTGACTGGTTATTCAATCAACGTTTTCCAAGAAGCACTTTTCCATCGTCAATGGGTAGCGGTTCTGGCGACAGATTGGTGCAATGGTGTCATGTAGCGTCTGGTTTTGTACCCTGTGTACCCTTCAACGGCCAAGTCACACAACATTAACTATAATAATAAAGAAATCGCAGTAAGGAACCTTAGACTTGGCACGACTTTGTCTAGATTTCATTACTTTTTAGAGATAAACAAGCAGCTCCATCGAGACTTGGCTAGTTTTTTTACAGAATGTTTTTGGTGGGATTGCTTTTTCTAATTGTTCTTCATGAAGTGTGTTTTGTACTGGCTGGCTATCTTTGGCTATGGCTTGTCTTTGGTTTTTAGTATAAATTTAATTATTATAAATGCGTTTTTTCATTGCAACCATTCTTTTACTCATTCAGCACACCTTTTCGTGAAGTATTTATTTTCCTGCTTAAGTTTTGTATTTTCTGGTTTCAAGTATAATGTTCGTTTACCTGTATAGATTTCTTTTCGTCGCATTATATCTTCTTTCCATTTTTGTCTTCAAGCTTATTTTTCAGTGCATTATAATCTGGTAATTTTATTTGTTGTTGTTTAACTATCTGCAGAGGTTTTTTTTCTTTTTTCTTTATATTTTTCAGGGTTTTTTTCTTTAAGTTGTTCCATGTTTTTCTTTTCGCCGTTCCGCACCGGTCATCGGCATTCTGAAACTAAAAATAACTGCTGGATATCGTTTAAATCACACTTAAAATTAAAAGCAATGTTAGGTGTCATAAGTGTGGGTTGAAAAGCGATCAATACTAAATGCAAAAAAGTAAGCATTAAAAGTTGTTTTTCCTAGACAAAAGCCAATATTTTGAAGGACCACGCTCTCACAGAATACCAGAGTAAAATAGCAGCTTAACGCTGCTGTGTTTCGTATGCGAGTTACAAAACCGTTTTCAGTGCCTAAAAGACTGCAATGAAGTGGAAACCTATCCAATTGCAGAGAGGTGTAAGACAGGGTGACGTCAAATCCCCGAAACTCTTCACCGCTGCATTGGAAGACGTTTTCAAGCTTTGGATGGTGCTAAAGTCACTTCAGCGGTGCCAAGTTTACTCTCGATATATTGAAGTACTGAAGTGTTTGTACAGTAGGGCTACGATGATCCAAGTACAGAACCAGAGTGTGAAACCTATCCAACTGCAGAGAGGTGTAAGACAGGGTGACGTTATATCCCCGAAACTCTTCACCGCTGCATTGGAAGACGTTTTCAAGCTACTGGGCTCGAAAGGATACGGTATTAATTACAATGGCGAGTGCATCACTCACCTTCGATTTGCCGACGATATAGTCCTTATGGCAGAATCGTTGGAGGACCTAAGCACCATGCTCAATAACCTCAATAGTGTCTCCCAACGGATAGGTCTTAAGATGAACATGGACAAAACAAAGATCATGTTTAATGTCCATGTCACACCTATGCCGGTAGTTGTTGGGAGCACTAAGCTCGAAGTTGTTGACGAGTATGTTTACCTGGGACAAATAGTACGACTAGGTAAGTCCAACTTCGACCGAGAGGTCAATCGACGGATTCAACTCGGCTGGGCAGCGTTCGGGAAACTACGATACATCTTCTCGTCAGACATACCTCAAAATCTTAAAACGAAATTGTACAAGCAATGCGTGTTGCCAGTGATGACTTACGGATCTGAGACGTGGTCCTTCACTGCTGGCCGTATGAGGAAGCTCAAGGTCGCTCAGCGAGCTATGGAGAGGGCTATGCTCGGGGTTTCTCTGCGTGATAAACTTAGAAATGAGGATATCCGCAGTAGAACTAGAGTAACCGACATAGCCCAACGGATTAGTAAGCTGAAGTGGCAGTAGGCCGGCCATATAGCTCGAAGAACCGACAACCGATGGGGAAGAAAGGTTCTAGAGTGGGAGCCTCGTACCGGTAGGCGAAGTGTAGGGCGACTCCCCACGATGGTGAGACATGCAGGAAGTCGATGGATGCAGGTGGCTCAGGACCTTGCTTTGTGGCATTCCTTGGGGGAGGCCTATGTTCAGCAGTGAACTTATGAAAGGCTGTAATGATGACTTATCGTTTATATCCTTTATTTTTAAACGTTACATACTGCACTCATTGTATCTTACTTTCATACTTTACACATACGTTCACAGCTTTACCGTCTACAACAGGCTGATCCAATTTTGTATTAAATCCGAGAAATTTGTACACAATTTCGTAACGTAACGGTCGGACGTAACAAAATAAATCGAGAAAAAGATATCGCTGTTTCTTTCCTTCGCGTTGCTTCAGATTGCCATTTTAAAAATTAGATACATAAATTCATATTATACCGGAAGAAGCTGGAAAGGTTAATCCTGTGTTAAACTTTTTTCGGTTTGTTCCTTAAAGTATAATTACATACATATTACTTCTGATATTTGCACAATTAATTTACCTATTAAGTGGTTGAAATTAAATTATTAGCAGAATTCCATCAAAAAAAAAAGCCATGAACTATAAAGAAAATGACATTTGTTTGTCAACGTCTTTCATGTTGAAAATATTTTCTGAAATTTATTCAATTTTATTTCATAGGTTTAGGTTTTAATATTTATTTTTACGAGGACTGACATTTTAGTAGTATACATATAATGACTCGCACATAAAACATACAGTCGAATTGAGTACCTCCTTCTTTTTAGAAGCCGTTTAAAAAGAGTGTGTTGTGTAGTTCAGTTATGTTTCATGTTAGTAATATAATAAAGTGATTTAACTCTGCTTTTTTTCTCATACACTCCTTAATCTATCGTTTCTTTCTTGATTGCCTTTCGCGATTTAGTAAAATTAATGCAATGCTCAATGCAATGCCTTGTTTTCTATCCATTTTAATAAACGTGTACACATGAATATAGGTGCGGAGCGACTAAGTCATATTGTACCATGAGAAATTGCCAATAATATTGAGTAGTGTTAGGGACCATAATATTATATTGATGAAGGTTTTTGACAATCTTGCATTTACATTTGACAATATTATTGAGAGTGTATGGCTAGCCTAAGATATTGTGATTACTTACGTCTATGCTCTATGCTCACTCTATTGTGAAGAAATCTATGGTTTCAAGCTTTCAACATCAAGGTCATGTCATAAAAATAAATTCGTGACGAGACTAACTCAAACTTTTTATAATTTCAGAAAATACTTCGCTTTATCTTTTTCACTTACGTGCAATTTACGAAAATAAAGCAGTGTTTATAAATAAAATTCATCGAATAAACATTTAACTTTAGAACCAATAGAAGTCCATCCACCTCAAATGAAAGCTAATGGCTGCCGAACTCTAATCACGAAACAGCTGATGTGCGTCGTTTATTTTTTCAATTCAAGTTTGAGATAGCTTTAGTTCGTAACTTGGTTTAAATGTTACGTTATTAGCTAAACAGTTTTTTCTGGAATACAGGGTTTGTTTTGAATAGTTCTAACAGTGATTTTAAGTAATGAATTGAGCGTTTTTGTACGCTGTTGGCTTTTTCAGATGTCACTGACCATACAACAAATTATTTTGGATGCTAAAAGACTGGCTGGTCGTCTCAAGGAACGAGAGACAGAAGCGGATGCTTTGTTGACTGAAACTCAATCTGCTTATAGACAAATTCATACTATGAAACAGGTATATCTATTCCTTCTTTGTTGGACTTCACCTACTTGTGGTATAACGAAAAAAATAAAAAATTGTATTTGTTGAAGATAATATTTATTTCATTTTAGTTTAATTTATTCACATTTACATCATACAGCACATCATTATTTTATCGTGGGTATGGGTAGCTGTATGAAGACCGTTTTTATTTTGCAAACAAGAGTAATATTTTATATGTGGTAGAGCCATGCTGCAGCTATATTATGGTTGTAGCATGAATGGGTCGGCTCGACCGGGGAAGGACCACACTCTCACAGAATACCAGGGTAAAATAGCAGCTTCATGCTGCTGTGTTTTGTATGGTGAGTGTAGAGAACTGGAGACCTTTTTTTACTGGAAATAAGGCATTTCATCTTAGTCCTCAAGGGTGACAATGCATCTGCATTTTGATTCGTAATCGAAGATAGATGTAGATGTCTATGGGCCACAGCAACCACTTACCATCAGGTGGACTGTGTGCTCATTTGTCACCTTTATCCTATAAAAAAAATGCAAATTATAATGTGATTTGTTAAGGGAATTAAAGAAATAAATATTGTAACTTTACAAGACAGTTATGATATGAAAATATTATGTATGTACAAAAACATAAATATCTATTGCCAAGGAATAATGATTGATGTTGTACCATAGGGAATAGTTATAAATTATATTATCCAAAATTACATTAGCAAATTTTATATCATTTGTTGGCCAAACTTTACAGGAGAATGGTGTAGTTAAATTTTTTAGAAATAAAATCATAATAATCAATTTATATATAAAAACATAAAATTCTATCAGAGTTTGATTCATTCTGATGACCAAATGGCAACTATTCAATGATATCACTGAGATCAGTAGCGAGAAAATCCATAGCAATTATGGATTAGGAACACACTGAATCTTTATATCAGACTAGAGCGATCCTGTCTAATGAAGTCAATGCTATTACCTTCTCAAGGCTTAGTCCAGAATCCTAATGATTTTCAGCTCAAGCTGCAAAATTGTTTCCAGTGCCTAGGTTTTAATATGTTGGAAGATATAAGCTTATTGAAACTGTTCATATGGTGGGTAGAAAATATTGCAAGACCTATGGAAGAAGAAGCAAAAATCTATGTGCTAACCTAATATTTGATAGATGGAAAATGAGACTGCAGTCTTTAACTGCTACATCAGCTTACAAGCTATTTGAACAAAAGATCTCTAAATATATGCAGTAAGAATGCAGTGGCATCAATACAGCTTGTATTGAAGAAGCAGTTGAGTGGAACCAGGATTTTTAAAGTCATTACCAAAGATCTGCCTGCCTCGAGAAGCTAATTGACAAAGTTGAAGACCAATAGTAGCAGCATTATTTGCATGGTACTGGAGATTTGGAGTAAGATCGAAACGTTTTATAGACAGCAGTGGACATTGGCAATATTATGTTAAAATCCAAGGGTGATGCTCATCTAACGCTATCCTTATGATATCCCAGACATCAGTCTGAGTAAGATTAGGGTGAGTCTCCAGCAACTTAAGAAGGACTAAGCGCCCAGTTAGGATAAAATACTGCAGTTTCCGAAAGCAAGTGGGGAACCAATACTTGAAGCCCTTTAGAAGCTATGTAATTCCGTACTTCAAGGTGGTAGTTCAGTTCTTCAACAAATGGTAAAACCATATTAAAATCACAGATTAATTTCTCTTCTGTGTCACCTTTACATCCTTTTTTCAAATATTACCAATCACATCACACGCAGACTATGACATCTATCAATAAGATTTTAGTACCATATATTATATACATATCCTACCGGCTCCGTGGCGTAGTGGCTTAGCAATGAGTTGCAACGCTTGGGGCCGCGGGTTCGAATCCCACACGGAACAAGTATTTGTACGGCCTACAAATAATTGTTCCAGATCTGGATATTTGTCCTTGTGCAATATATGTTTGTAAACTGCCTCCACAATACAGGAGAAAATCCTAGTGTGGGGGTAACGTTTTTTTAAAAAAAAATAAAAAAATAAAAGAAATCCTGAAAGGTTATAGAGCAGAATAAAGAGTATATAATCAGCCGTAAAGTAAAGCCTTTGATTCAGAAGAAATTTAGGCAGTGCAACAATAACCTCTGCGGTGTCAGCTTAACTATTAGCATCTTGAAATGGTTGAAGTGTTTGTACAGTAAGGCTATGATGGCTATCCGAGGACACAATCATGAGTATAATACTTATCCAACTGCAGAGAGGTGTAAGACAGGGTGATGTAATATCCTCTAAGCTTTTCACTGCTGCATAGGAAGATGTTTTTAAGCTTCCAGACTGGAAAAGGATATTTTATTTAACATTAATGGTGAATATATCACTCACTTTCGATTTGTTGTCAATATAGGCCCTGGAGGACTCGGCACTAAGCTCATCAACCTCAAATAACTTAAATATAATGATGGCTTGTTTACAAAGTTTAACAACTAAAATATTAACATGCCATATTAAATATAATTTTTTCTGACAAGAATAAATTATATACAATTTTGTATAATTTTATTCGTTTACTCATGCAAGAGTACAGCTCGTATGTATTTCTAGAACTCTTTTTCCAATTTATTGGTAAAATATAGTGGTGGTCATATAATTAAGAACACTTATGAAAAAAGAAAGTATAACTTCAACATACAAATGTTCGTAAAAAATATACACATTCAATAATTAATAATCTTGCAATAATATAGCCACTCAAATAAAAAACTCATTAAATGCATAAAAAATAAAATATATCTTACGTTTAATTACATAATGAGTCTTACACATGAAGGAGTTTATTTTCTGTTACTGACCGCTTAGATGTCTAATTAGAGACATTTTAAAAAAGCATCCATAGCTCGTTCTTTTTTTGAAATTGGAGAATAACATTTCTTTCTTGGCTTTTTCTATTATTTTGGCGGTAATTCAAAATTTAATCTGAATTTTATTTTGTACAAAATGGGCAAAAATCAAAGTTGTGACGCGTCAACTAGGCAAATAATTGTTAATTTACATATAGATCATAAGTGAGCGTACAGAAAAATAGCTGAGCATTTAAATTGTTCTGTTAAGAAAGTTTTTAATGCAACTGATCATTATTAAACACATGGAACTGTTGAAAATGTTTTTAGAAAGGCTCGGCCAAGAAAAACCTCTCCCAGAGAAGATACGCTAATCGTTCGTGTTGCTAAAAAAGACCCAAGTAAAGGCTCCAACGAGATTAAAATGAAGTTTTTTCGCCTGATGACCCGAGAAACATCTCGCCAAGACTGATACGCCGAAGATTAGTAGAAGCTAAATTGTTTGGAAGAATCTCTCGAAAGGTACCGCTTCTTACCAAGCAACAGAAACAGAAAGCAAGAGAAGCGGTTATTATTCGCTAAAAAATATGTTAATTGGACAGTACGAGAATGAAAAAAAGTATTATTTTCAGATGGAACGAAAATAAATATGGTAAATTCCGATGGAAAGCGCTATGTTAGACGTCCTGTAAACAGTGCTTTGATTATAAATACACAAGGAGTATAGTCAAGCACGGTGGTGGTAACATTAAAGTTTGGGGGTGTTTTTCCGGATGTGGAGTTGGACCTGTTCAGAAGATTGAAGGTACAATGGATCAATGGCAATACAAAAATATCTTAGAGCACACAATGATTCCCTACTCGGACGATCATTTGACTGTAACCTGGATCTTTCAGCATGACAATGACCCTAAACACACGGCCAATAGCGTCAAATGTTTCCTTAGCGAACAGCATATATATATTTGTTTATGACTGGCCATCAAATAGTCCGGATTCTATTGGTAGGCTGTGGATAGTAGCTGTTTCGTAAATAACAATACTAATTACTAATGAGTACTTAAAAAATAAATTGTTTTTATACTTTTTTGTTGTTGTTTCTAATTAGTTGACCATTACTCTTTATACCTTAAAACTGATTTAAATGTTTGTCCGTAATGTAATATTGAAACTGCACTTGTGTAATGGGATTTATATTGTTTTTCTAATAAATGATAAATGGTTGCACATATTGCTGTTTATTGTGTAATTTCAAAATAAAAATGATTGCGGTGAAGTATCTTACATAATGTCAAGGGTAGTGTTTTTAATTATAGAACCACCACTGTATATTATATCTCTTAAGTGTACACAGTATAAGTACAATATATACAATTATATGCAATCTTATTTTGGCGTTTGGATATTAATAATAGTATAAATTATCATATTTGCAAGGGTTAAATCAGTAACGGACTGTTTTTGTGGCGGTGTAAGCGTATTCCTAATAGCAACTAGTAAATAAAAAAGTGCAGTTGCCAATCCGCCTGCCAAGCGTGGCAATTGTGGCAATGTTACTCTTATGAGGCAATCTAATGGGCAGACCTATGTACAGCGGTGGACTTTGAGAGGTTGTTGTGATTGAATTAATAATATTTGTACCATTTTTACACAAACAAGCACACAGTCCACCTAATGGTAAGTGGTTGCTGTGGCCCATAGACATCTGCATCTATCCTGGTTTGTGAATTAAAAAGCAAATGTGTTGTCAGCCTTGAGGACTAAGATAGAATGCCTCTTTTCCAGTAAAATGGGTCTCTGGTTCTCTACACTCACCATACGAAACACAACAGTATTAAACTGCTTTTTTACGCTGGTATTCTGTGAGAGCGTGGTCCTTCCCCGGTCGAGCCGACCCATTCGTGCTACAACTATACTATTAATATAGCTGCAGCATGGCTCTACCACGTAAAAATACTACTACTTTACTGCTTATCACTTATGAGGGTTAATATATATTTAGAGATTATAATTTTGGAGGCATCGAAGTAAGGTGCGCCATGTGTTCTGGTGCGCCTTACCTGAGAAAAGATGCGGGAGAGGTGGTCCTCTCTCGGAGAGGGGCCGCCATGGGGCAGCCGGTGCCGTACTTACCCCCCACGAGGCGGGTACGCGTAGGTATTTCCCCATGTAAAAAAGATGTTATATCATTTGAAATCAACATGATCAGAAATGAGAAGAAGTCTGTTTATGAATATAAATTTTCTTTTGTCAATAAAATTAATTTTCATTTCAGTACAAAGAGGAAGTGGATACACTTAATGAAGCTTCAAGAGAAAGGCCACGAGGTGAGCTAATTGCAAGTATAGAACGCGAATCTCGACTAATGCGTGATGTTCAAAGGGAAAACGGAGAGTTGCGCGCAGCTCTAGAAGATCATCGAAGAGCATTAGAGCTAATTATGTCAAAATATCGCCAACACACTGAAAAGAGAATATGGGAGTCACGGATAGACTTTACAGCTGCAATTAATGAGAAACAACAAGAGGTATGTATAAAACAGCAAACATCGCCTTAATATTTTTTGTAAACCTTGTGACTTCATGGTCAGTATACCTAAATTGAGTCATAGAGCTATTGGGATTCGAATCCAGATAGGTCGCTCGTAGCTCGAGCTAATTTTGTGCAACTTACTAATTATTTGTTCAATTATATATAGATTTTTCATAAAAGTACTTACTTTGCCACTTGGCAAAAGAGCACACAGTACACCTTATGTTAAGTAGACGGTGTATTCTGTAGACATGCATCTATACTTTCAAATCGTTAATTTAATTTTAAATTAAGAATCAAAATGCAGATGTTTTACTTATACAGATTTTTTGACAAGAATTTTTTAATTTAGGTTTTTATTAGATTAGATTATTATTAGATTATTTTATTAGATTATTTAGATTTCAATTTATATTTTACATGTTGATAGTTAATCCGTCAACAAGCAGAAAGGATTAATGAGATGACAAGCATTATGTACAAAGCAGTCAATATGGATGAGAATTCAGACTCTAGGAAAGAAGAAGAACTGTACCAAAGGCTTATTACCGAGAACAAGGTAAACACAAATACAATTTTGAGTAAACATCATATATTTCATATTTTAATTAACCTTAGGCTGTTTCACAATGATTAGTGCGCAAAGCATTCCCCTCGCTGGACTTCAACAAGTCGAGTGGGGAGATCCTTCTATTGTGCTGAATGTTCTCCACAGTTGGTTCTTACGCGTCTCATCCGGTAATCCTATTCCCTTGCTGTAGTCCCGAATTCATGGAAGACCCTCCAGTATACCCGATCCCTAACTTAAAAGGCGAACGCTTAGACTAGTCTAACTACATGCTTATCCCCATCACCTTGCTCCTTGTTCTCCAAAACAATGGAGTCCATTACAAAATTTTAACCCATATGTTACCGTCAATACAGTATCCGTCGGGGTCGCACAGCTGGTGATCCACCAGTTTACCTGAATCATAGATGATTGGAGGCAGTAGAGTCCAAGGGGCATGCCTTTGTGGTTAGTTTGGACATAACGAAGGTCTTCGATCAGGATTGTCAGAAAGCGCTACTTTCAAAGCTTCCCTCTTATGGCCTTTCTGAGTAATTAATCGATTGAGTCATCAATTTTCTCGCAGATCGGATCATTAAGGTCATAGTCGACGGTGCATGCTCTGACTCCAAGTTTGTGAATATTGGTATTCCACAAGGCTGCGTGCTGTCGCCTACCACATTCCTTCTGCATATCAATGATATCTTGCAAACCAGTAACATTAATTGGTGTGCAGATGACAGCACTGGCGATACTATATCATCTTATATCTTTTTCTAAGTATTAAGTGAAGTCATCTTGTTATGCATTAATTTCTTTGTTAATTTTTCAGGGTCTCAGAGAAATGCTAGATCTGTCGAGGCGGTATGGATCGGAACGTGCGATTGCTCCTCCCACAGAAGACAAGCACGTACAAACAGATGGACCGCCGCTGACAAGTGCGTGACGCCCCGCGGCGGACACATGCCGCCTCTGAACGCGCTAAATGCGCCTATTTAAGCGCCAAACGCGCCTCTAACATAGGTAGATGTCACTACTCCTGTCGGCACATTTGCCTCTACTCCTTCTCTGGTATCAATAAAGCAGTCCCTAATTTGACTATGATTTACCGGCCTACTCCCGACAGCTCACATCGAGTTCTGAATCAATGGAGTTTTTTTTTTTACGTATTCAAGGTAATTTCGTACTACCGAAACCGCAGCTAGCCCACAACCGAATGGTGGTTCAAATTGGATTTATCAGAATGGAAGTCTTCAGATGTCCGCCGCTAGATAGCGCTCTTAATCGCAAGCGAAGACAAATTTTTAGGGTTCCGTACCCAAAGGGTAACCAACGGAACCCTATTACTAAGCCTCCGCTGTCAATCCGTCTGTCTGTCAGTGAGCTGTATCTCAGGTAGACAGTTGAAATTTTCACAGAATGTGTATTTCTGTTGCCTATAAATAATAAAAATTAATATTAAAGGAGGCTCCCCTACTAGAAACCTGTGTGATGGTACGGAACCCTTCTTGCGCTAGTCCAACTCGCACTTGGCCAGTTTTTTTCTTGATAATTTTGTCCTATTTTTATATGTAATAAAAATATTTCAGAAGTTAATTTGTAATTTATAGAAAATCATTTCTGGTTAAAATATATCCGGATGTGTTTAACGGCGCTGATAACGCTTGATCGTAACTTAATCGCGTTTCTCGATTTGAATTTGTTCGGGAGTAAGTTATTAAAATTAGGTTTGAAACAACGCATCGTCAATATTAATGGAACATCGAATCGAATTCGAAATCAATTTCGGGAGTACACCCGAACACATTTGTCAAAAACAATGTACTTGAGATGTATAGATCTCTATTCTCTCTTTAATTTATTTTTTATTGAAATTTTCAGTAATCAAATGACGGATTTGACTTCACACACTTTTTAAATTTGCAGTCCGCTCCTGTAACTATTAGAGTTCCTGTCGACATTAACATTTTCAGGATCTCATTATATTTAAATTATTTGCTCATTTCCATCACAAATTAAATATAACACTCAGAAAACTTGTTTGAGGGAGATTCATTGATACTTGTCTGACTGGCAACATACATAATATTCAGATGTGCAGTCAGGAAATATTCTCTAATAGAGGTCACCGTTCCGGTATGCAACTTTACTTTACTGTTATTCATATTAGTATTGGTAAGTGTTTTGACTTTTGGTATTTTTTTCTATTAAAAGAAAAATAATACGTGAGACAGATTAAACGCAAAATACTATAAATAGGTTGTATTTAATATTGAATGTTAATGATACCTTTAATGCCATATAATGCAATTTCTGTTAAACTTTAACGAAATACTAAAATAATAAAACAAAACTGTGATCTTTAGTATTTGTTGTTCAGATCTGAGATTTATTCATCCATTTCATTGAATATTATGTATATGATCATTGCACTACTGTTTCATATTGTTAAATTTCTGAACAGTATATAAAGATCCCTAGATATGTGACCTAGATATATGTGATGGTGTCAAAGTGATTGTAAATGTTAAACAATTTACATTAGTTTCTTTTAGTCAAGCACATTTCCAATTTTGAATACCGCGGCACGAATTTGGAGCGTTGCGCAATTTCGGTGTTGCTAATTAGCACAGGTTAATTAATTTAATTCTATTGGCTACTGATTAACTTACCATCAAATTTTCTGCAGAAAAATGACATGATTTTGTACTGTAATTCGTATGGTGCTTGTCGCATAACTGATCACCGAGATAATAATAATTAAAGAATGCTCTATGATTATACTTCACTTACCCTGCACTTTACCACTTTACCAAGCAAGGTTTGATTGTAGTTAATATAACAACAAAAGTTTGTGCGCAAGAGTATATCAGCGCTTATAATCTGTGCTGCATAATGTTGCATTATTCCATAAGTAATCTGTATGCTTTGTCGTGACTTAAATTACCAGTGTGAGATAAATTATTAAATCTGATTTCCTTCGAAGTAAAAATCTTAATATTTGTGTTTGTGAAACTTACTGCTGTCTTTTACATGTTTTTTTTAATGAATAAAAGTAAAGTCGAAAACAATACTCGATGGAAGCTTGTGGCGACTGCCTGTTGAATGCTAAAAATATTTTTATTTAAAGGAATCCTTGTAAGATTGTTCGAATTTCGATTATATTAAAATTATTTTTACTTATAAGTGCTGTTCTTTCTGGGACCCATTTCTTATCAACTAAAGAAAATTACAGTGCATTATCGCTGTCAATTTTTATTATCTTACAATATATAAATTATAAAATAATATAAATTATATAATGAAGTGTTATTGGGTGAACTTACTGAGGTAGATTTCTACCTAATTAGCACAAAGCGTATAGAGAGCCTGTTAAATAATTGGCCATGAGGCGTTCCATCATAGTGCTCAGAAGTGCTATATATTTTTTTTTAATTGTTTTCGAGTACCCCTTGGCTGCAATAGCTATTTACTAACAGGTGGGCTTTAAAATAGTTTGTCAATCTAAAGATGAAAAATATAGTAGTGTTGTCGTTTTATAATAATTTCATCACTAAGTATATGTCAATAAAAAGACAAGGTCATGTTTATTACTGTATTATAAATGTAAATGTTTTTGTTTGGAAGTTTCTCCTCCAATCACGCTTGAACGACTGGATAAGGACAAAGTCGATTATCCCGTGCTGTAGAACATATAACAAATATTACAACACTTTAGTTTAAGCCAAGCAAAACGGGCAGGTAACAGCTTTTTAGTATAATTATAGGCTGTTGAAGCATTCTTATTCCTCAGATGTGAAACACCCTTCTTCTACCTTACCCTTCTGTACCCTTCTTTATTTGAAGTTGGTGGCAGATTTCCATGGGCTACAACAGCCACCATCACCTGGATTGTAATTTCGTTTGTCACTTAAGTTTAAAAAAATGAAATTTGTATGCTGACCGTTACTACTAAATGGGCCTGGGTTCCGCGTTCAAAAGTGTCCGAGTTTAAAGACTTCCAAAATGCAAAAAAGAGTTCTAATCGCGCGCCAGTCTTCGTTTAGCCTACCGACTTAATTGGACTTATTACACGTCCTAAATGCCGTACTACCCTGTGAAAACACGCAAAAACTACTTAAAAGACGATGTTATATCATATTTTCGATAAAAGGACTATTAATATTTGATAATTTAAATATTTTGCTCAGATACATTGTATTTAATTTAAATTCATATTAATTGTAAAAACAAATAACCATACTGATAATTTTCGCTAGAAGCTGCATAAGGTAAAAATAGTGCGGCCTCTCAAAGTAAAATAGGCTGACCAATTGTCGCAAGTAAAATTGAGCAGTTTATAATGACAATATGCTTTGAATTGGGATGTTATAGTTTTTCTTATATTTCTGTTTGTACTCATGCTATAGGTTGACTCGGGACACATTTTTCGTGAAATTTCTAGACCCGCTGTCCATTTAGTAATAGGTCAACGATGCTGACTCTCAACTACTTGAACGATTTTAAAGAACTAGAAAAGTGCAATGTGATCTTTATTCTGTTATAGGCTATATAAATTTACCTCGTATCTATCTAAAATTAACAGATCCTAATTTAAAATTTCGTTATGGTTTTTCATAGTAAGCTGTTTCGCGCTCATCGCCTTCATCTCAAGGGCGTCTCATTTGACGTTTAATGTCTATTTGCCTAAGTTAGTGACCGTAACTATTATCAATTCAGTCACAAACAGCTTATTGTATGCGTAATGTGACCCTTGTCTTTAAAAATAGTATTCTATAGGCCTCATTGGGTATCGTATATACCCAATGAGGCCGTGCCCTAATACCATCATCAATATAGAAACATTACTGGGATAGGGGCCCATTCACGTTTAATGTACAATGTGAGTTATTTGTAAGATAATAAACATTGTTCAAGCAAAGACTATGCGCTATTATATTAGTGAGTATATAATATGCATTATTTTTTCACGCAATTGTATCAGCTTTAGATGTTAGAGGTTGTACAAGTAGGTTGTACAAGTTGTGTAAGTAGAATGGACTATTGTAGTAATCCTGGGAAGAATGTTAAAAACACTTATTACATGCTATGAGCATGCAAGCAATATATTTAGGACTGGTTCTGATAAAATACCTGTTTATCGAATCTTTTACTGAGAGTCGCATACTAGTTATAATCATGACCGTCCTTATGCTTGGGAATTACGTATTTCATCGAATAGTTACGTGTTAAATCTCATAGTTTATTATTAGTTCTGCTGAACTAGGAGGTCACAAAAGTCACTTTTTAGTCCAAAATTTAGTGAATATTTGTGAGGCTATATGCGGCTCATACATTATGTAGTTATTATAAATTCCCTTACCTCAATAAGTAATTATAATTAATAGTACCTTACCAAATAGTTTTAAAAATAAACTTTCTATCGCAAGTTTCATGTATACTGTACATAATTTTTGTGTTTCAGTCAATCTTATTTACTTATTTAATTTTACTTATTATATAATAAACAATTTTTTTTAGTTATTTTAAAATCAAGACCAATTTAAACGCGCAAAGAAACAAATACTAATTATGTTCAAATGTAATTTTGAATACATGGAAAAGAAATCAATGTTAAAATTATATTAAATTAAATTTTATCTTACAAATTACAAATGCACAAAAATTATAAACATTTACCGTTTCGAAATATATACTTAAATAAGTATTTTATGTTTTAAATTGTTCTGTAGTTAATATTTTACTGTATTTTAGAATCGATAATTGTTTACAAAATGATTAAATTGTTTGGTTATCTAGCTTTTAGACGTCTCACTGGTCTGCTGTAGCAACAAGCATTGAGATAATGCATACATTGTTAGATGTTTAGTGGTTAACACTTTAGAAATTGTTATTATCATATTTTAATTAATTTAATGATAGATATGTTTCTATAATGTGTAAATG